CCATGGGGAAGGGCCCAGGTGCTCCTGATCTCAGCCTCCTAGGACACCTCTGTTCCACAGGTGCTAAGGACTCCCCCCAGGGTAGACCCTCCCCACCATGTATGGGACCAAGGGTCCCACAGGGAGAGGGATGCTCACCACCTCAGCTCAATGGGTCTTGGTTTCCCCATCTGTCACCCAAGCAGATCAGAAGCCTTGCCCCACCAACCCACCCCAGCTGGCTCTAGAGAGATAGGGTCACTTCCAGCATGGGAATTCTGAAAGGAGGTACCCTGAGCTGGGGGCAGGAAAGTGGGCCTGGGCTCCTGGGCTTCTGCCTGCAGTCTGCCTGTCTGGGTCCAGTTCACTCTGTCACTTGCTGCTGGAGGAGCCTCAGTTTCCCTGTCTGAGCTAAGAGAGAATAGCTGGATAGCTGCCAGAGGAGGGACTGAGTTTGCGGGGCTTGGTTTTCCTCTCTGCCTGCTGAGGGCTGGGCTGGAGAAGGAGCAGTAGAAGTGGAATCCTCCTCAGGGCCTCATTGCTATTTGTTAGAGGCTATTTTTTATAATACAGGATTTCATTATATTCATTAAAGTCCTTACTGTGTAACCCCCCACCCCCTTGACAGACAAGTGGCTTGTCCCTGGTTAGCACTGGGAAGCAGTGGGTAGCTACAGCCTGCTTATGCCAGCAGGTCTCTGCAAGAGCCAATGGGGAAGGGGCTTCCCACACTGGGCTGTGGGGTCAGAGAGGGACTGAGGATCAGAGAGGGAAAATGGCTAGGCCCGGGCTGCATAGCCCAAAGCAGGAGAGGAATGGGCTTTGGGGTTTAAGGCCCATTCAGGAGGTCCCCACACAGTGAGGGTGGCAGAGGACAGGCTCTGGGGGCCAGTGGGCCTGGGTCTATTCTTGCACCCCCACTTCCTGGCTGGGAAATCTTCCTAATCTGTTAGCGAGGTGTGGTACCTGCTCTCACCCCACCCTGCCCCAAGAACAGAGGAGAGAATGTCTGTGAAGAGTCACCTGTAAATGAGGCCCCAGTGTCATATGACCCTTTAGACTGTTTTTAGGTCCCCCAGTGGTTTCTAGGCCCACCTCCCAGGGGTTTTGTGGCCCTCTTGGTAGTTTCTGAAGCCTTGCTGGGTGTTTCTAAGCAACTCCCTCGCCTTTTCAATTGGTCCCTCCCACTCATTTTGTGCCAAGGTTTGTGCCCTGAAAGGGGGGGGGGGGGCAGTCTCAGACTAGAGAGGGTAAACTGGGACTCAGAGTTCTACAGTGGCTTCTGGGTCTGGAGGGGGTGAGCAGGCAGGTGAGGCCCCCTCAATCCCATAGGGTGCAAAGGCTCTGGGGGTCTTGATGAGCAGATGCCCCAAATCATGGGTCTAAATTGACATACTGTGTCTAGATTCAGGCAAAGGAAGGTCTTGAATTTCGAGCAGTCATTTGACTTTGCCCTTAAAGTTCTGAGGAGGGACCCCTCTCCACCCACAGATGTTGTCAGCCCTTCTTAGATCTCTCACCCCAGTCAGGTTTGTGTGGGAAGGCTTCCCAAAGACACAGTCTCTCTCCATCTCATGGCTGGAGTCTCTCATGTTTTTTATTTTATTTTATTTTTGTGTGTGTTGTTGAGACAGAGTCTCACTTTATCGCCTTCAATAGAGTGCTGTGGCATCACACAGCTCACAGCAACCTCCAACTCCTGGGCTTAGGCAGTTCTCTTGCCTCAGCCTCCCGAGTAGCTGGGACTACAGGCGCCTGCCACAAGGCCCGGCTATTTTTTTGTTGTAATTTGGCCAGGCCGGGTTTGAAACTGCCACCTTTGGTATACGGGGCCAGTGCCCTACCCACTGAGCCACAGGCACCACTCACTCATTAATTTTAATTTTTAATTTTTATTTTTTGCAGTTTTTGGCCGGGGCCGGGTTTAAACCCGCCACCTCTGGTATATGGGGCCAGCACCCTTCTCCTTTGAGCCACAGGTGTCACCCCCCCCATTAATTTTTCTAATTTTTCTATTTTCGTAGAGAAGGGGTGTTGCCTTCCTCAAGCTGGTCTTGAGCTCCTGAGTTTAAGGGATCCTCCTAACTCAGCCTCCCAGCGTACTAGCATTATAGGCATGAGCCACCGTGCCCAGTCCCCATGTTCTTTTAAAGAACATTACAACACATGTAGGCTGACAGAAGAAGAGACTGAAGTTCTGAAGGGCTGGAGGAACTCATTCAAGGTCATTGATGCTAGTGGGCAGGTGCCAACCCAGGCCTGGCTAATGCTACCAGGATATGAGATGTTGGGTCTCTTCCAGTCTTTGGTTTTCGCAGACTGAGCTGTTGTGAACATCTTGGTACAAATCACTTTTTAATTTTTTTCTATTCCTTTTGGACAATTTCCTTGGGATTAGTGCCCCGAAATGGAATGTCTGGGTCACCTGGGAGGCATGGTGTTAATAGCTTTTCTCTTGAGGTGCTGTCCAGAAAAGAGCTAATTCATGCAGCTCCTGAGACAGGGAGTTCACCAAGGCCACGCAAGTGCTGGGGCTTTCAGATTTTTATTTATTTGTGCTAATTTGGGGGACCAGTTAGGACATGGGGGTTCAGGCCACATTGAGGAGGGGGTTTGAGCCTATAGGAACCCCCCAAACCCACCTAGGGAGAGATAAAAATCTAGAGAGACTTAAGGGGGGCTGATTCCATCTGGGTGTGGGGAGGGGTTCCCCAGTGTGAAGGGGGAAAACCAAATAAATGACTCTGCTTGAAATTCAAGACAGGTTATGTGGACTCCGACCGTCATCTGGGGCATCTGCTCCTCAGCAACAGCCCCTAGCCCCAGAGGATTTTGTTTATTAATTTTCCCCTCCAAGGCTTTGAGAAGAATCTTTTTTTTTTTTGCAGTTTTTGGCAGGGGCTGGGGTCGAACCCGCCACCTCTGGCATATGGGGCCAGTGCCCTACTCCTTTGAGCCACAGTAGCCACCAGAGAAGAATCTTTTATACTACGTATTTTTTTTCTATCATAAAATTTGGCTCTTGGCTCAGCGCCTGTGGCTCAAGCAGCTAAGGTGTCAGCCACATACACCTGAGCTGGTGGGTTCGAATCCGGCCAGGGCCTGTCAAACAACAATGATGGCTGTAACCAAAAAATAGCTGGGCGTTGTGGCAGGCGCCTGTGGTCCCAGCTACTTGGGAGGCGGAGGCAGGAGACTCGTTTGAGCCCAGGAGTTGGAGGTTGCTGTGAGCTGTGATGCCACAGCACTCTACCCAGGGCAACAGCTTGAGACTCTATCTCAAAAAAAAAAAAAAAAAAAATTGGCTCTTAATGGTCATGCCTGTAATCCTAGCACTCTGGGAGGCTGAGGTGGTTGGATCACCTTAGCTCAGGAGTTTGAGACTAGTCTGAGCAAGAATGAGACCCTGTCTCTACTAAAAATAGTGGGGTTATGGTGGGCATCTATAGTCCCAGCTACTTAGGCAGCTGAGGCAACAGGAGCTCTTGACCTGGAGAGTTTGAAGTTGCTGTGAGCTGTGATGATGCCATGGCACTCTATCTGGGGCAACTGGATAAGACTCTGTCTCAAAAAAAAAAAAAAAATTGTCATTTAACCATTTTAAAATGTAAAATTCAGTGGCATTAATTACTAACATATTTACATTGTTATGTAAGCACTACCACTATCCACTTCCAAAACTCTTATTATCCCAAACAGAAACTCTGTACCCATTAAGCAATAACTCCCCCTTCCCTCCTCACCCCCTGACAACCATGAATCTCTATGGATCTGCCTGTCCTGGACACTTCATATAAGTGGCGTCTCACACTGTATGTCTTTTTCTGTCTGGCTGCTGCCACTGAGCACAATATCCTCAAGGTCCATCCATGTTGCAGCCTATATCAGAGTCTCCTTCCTTTTCGTGGCTGAGTGATATTCCAGTGTGTGCAGGGACCATGTATGTTTGTCCACTCATCCACCTGTGGCCCCATGAGTTGTTGCTACTTTTTGGCTGTCATGAATCATGCTGCCGTGAACACGGGTGTTTGAGTTCTTGATTTCAGTTCTTTGGGTATATATACTCCGGAGTGGAATTGCTGGGTCATCTGATAATTCTATGTTTAACTTTTTAAGGAGCCACCAAACAGTTTTGCCTTAGAGTGCTTTTGATTTGCATTTTCTCGACAGCTGAGGGGCTGGGCATCTGTCCATGTGGCCATCTGCTGAGTCCATATGACTTCATGGGTAGATGCCTCTATCACAGTGCTGTGCCTGGCCTGTCAGTAGATATTCCTTGAATGGAATGGTCTTTTTCTGCCAGTGTTTTCCAGGTGGAAATTTGGGATTGACCTTGGGGACATGGATCAAATCTAAGTATATAGGGAATAGAAGCAATCCATCATCACTTTTCAAGGCCAAGTCCTATGGATCGCATCACTCCCATCCTCTCAGGGCCACTGCTCTGGCACTTCCCAGTTTGATCCTGGATGAGTGCCTCACTCCTTCCCTGTCTCCTGTCACACTTCGGGGGTACCTCCTAAAGTGAAGTGCAGCCAGTCCTGGCTTTCAGTGACCCATGTGGAAGCTCTGGCTCCTAGGGATGGCTTCAGGGCCCTGCCCTGTACCTCCAGGGTCTCAGGCTGAGCACTTCCCAGCCCCTGGACTTCCCTGTCACTGCGCCTGCTGCCAAGGGCTCTCCTGTCTGCCCCCAGCTCCTCTCTGTTGTCTGCTCTTTTCTCTTCCCAGAATATTTTTTGAACCTTGTGCAAGGCACATTGTCCCTCTTTGGTCATGTGAAAAATGTAGTCTATTTTAAGCATCCCCTTGAGGTTTTCTAGGGCTACTGCCTCTTCAAGGAGGGAAGGTCAGACTGGGCCAGAGAGAGGGATCTGGGCTAGGGGCCCTCAGGGGGACGGGTGCCTTCCTGGAGGTGGGGTCCGTGGTCTCTGCCCATAACCTTGCTGCAAGAGAGATGAGGAATGGCTCCGGAGCTAGGGCACAGGCCCAGGCATGGAGGCTGAAGGGCCCCTTCTCCCCAGGTTCTACTGGGACTTCACCATGCTGCTGTTTATGGTGGGAAACCTCATCATCATCCCCGTGGGCATCACCTTCTTCAAGGATGAGACCACGGCCCCGTGGATCGTGTTCAATGTGGTATCGGACACTTTCTTCCTTATGGACCTGGTGCTCAACTTCCGCACGGGCATAGTGATTGAAGACAACACAGAGATCATCTTGGACCCCGAGAAGATCAAGAAGAAGTACCTGCGCACATGGTTTGTGGTGGACTTCGTGTCCTCCATCCCTGTGGACTACATTTTCCTCATTGTGGAGAAAGGCATCGACTCTGAGGTCTACAAGACGGCGCGTGCCCTGCGCATTGTGCGCTTCACTAAGATCCTCAGCCTTTTGCGGCTGCTGCGTCTGTCACGCCTCATCCGCTACATCCACCAGTGGGAGGAGGTGAGGGGCGCCGCCATGGGACACAGGCGGGGCCACAAGGGGTTCCAGGGCAGTTCCTCAGTGTCCAGTGGGGTGGCGAATATAGGAGTGGACTCATGGACGTAGAGGTAGGGCCGTGGGGGCGGGTGTGGGCTGAGCTATGGCTGCTAGAGCAGTGTCGTAGGTGTAGGGGTGGGGCCTTGGTTGCAAGGGTGCGTGATGGCTGCGGGGCTGGGCCCTAGGGCACTAGAGCAAGTGGACACTACTAAAGATTTGGAGGTGAGGCCATGATGGGAGGCACCGGACTGGGCTATGAGGATCTAGGGCCTGGGCCACGGGAAAAAGACAAGGTACGACTTTGGGTTCAGGGCAGGCCCCAGCAGGGAGGAGGGGACACAGGGTGGGCGGGGCCACAAGCTGCCTGGTGTTGAAGCCTGGGTGGGGTGCCTAGTGGGGCCACAGATGGAGCCCTCCGGGGAGTCCCAGAGGCAGCAATGAGGGGTCAGGAACCACAGAGGCAGAGTCTCTGGGGGATCACTTGGGCGCTAGAAGGTGGAGCCTCAGGTTCTGTCCTGCACATCAAAGGCCCATCAGTAATGGGGAAACTGAGCCTCTGAGAAGCAAAGCCACGCCTCCTCCCAAGTCCAGACCGCCTGATCCTGCCTCTTGGGGCAGGGCCTTGCAAGGGGTTGTTGGGAGGGTGGTGGTCCTGGGAATGGAGTGATGTCCTGTCCCACAGGCTATGGAGTTGGATGGGGCAGATGGGTCACGGGCCACATGCTGTGGCATTGAGAACAGAATGGAAGTTAACGGGGTTCCAGCTGCCTGTGGCTGCTTCTTTCACTGTTCAGGAGGGTGAGGGGTGGCAGGCAGAGGTCAGCGGGACCCTCATGGCCACCACTCCTCACAGATCTTCCATATGACCTATGACCTGGCAAGCGCAGTCATGCGCATCTGCAACCTCATCAGCATGATGCTCCTGCTGTGCCACTGGGATGGCTGCCTGCAGTTCCTGGTGCCCATGCTGCAGGACTTCCCGCGCAACTGCTGGGTCTCCATCAACGGCATGGTGGTGAGCGCCAGAAGGGAGGCCTTCCCCGCACAACTTACAGATGGGCACCGTTCTTGTCTCCTCTCCCCTCCCTCATGCCCCTCAGCCCTTCAGACCTGGGACTATCCAGAGGCAACCAAGTTTCCATTGTTCCAGTGCAACTATGGTGATTTTTGTCACCCAGATATCTGTTTAGTGCTTTTTCCAATTCATTCCCTTTTTTTTTTTTTTTTTT